GAAGAGAAAACCTCTTTTCTTTTCATTGTGTTTCTTAAGTGTTTAGAATCAGGATCATGTAAATCGACTCCAGTAATGCACTACTGTTTAAGTTTAGGGGCTCTCCCTGGTGGTGCAATGGGTTAAAGCACTATGAAGCTCTCAAAAGTCACTGCAGCATGAGTTCAATCCCCAGCCAGGGAGGTGACCCACATGGCTCAGCAGACCTCTCCTGACCTGCCCAATGCTCCCCTCAGCAGTGTATTTCAGTACATCTGCCTGTTCTGTTCCCCCCTCTGTCTCTAGTGAATCCTCTCACCACCACACCTCCGGCCGTTACCCCAGTTCTGTAAGCATAAATAAATAAAATCTTTAAAAAAAATAGGTTTAGCCTGAATAAAGTTTTTGCAACGGTTACCTTAGTATGAAGAAATCTGAGAACTCTCGATATTCTACCAGGAAATAAAGGAGGCAGGTTTGCAAACAGTCTTCCAAATGGAGTTCTTAGAATTCTTTTTCTGGAAATTGGTGAAGCTTACATATCTCCCCACATATGAATGTGAGTAACATGTTTATTCATGTCAGTAGAATATTACTAAGCCAAAAGGATAATTTAGATAAAAGTAATATGGATTGGCCCTTCTTCCAATCTCAACAGTTATTGCTATCTAGAGATTTCTTTCATCAGGCACAGAAATAATGATATAGTTGTCAGTGTGCAGTAACTCAAATATCGCCAATCAGTTTGCTGAGTGGCATTCCTTTCACCTAAAATGCCTCCAATCTGACATAGATGCCTACAAATTAGTAATGCCAGAAGTTCCCTAATATTTGTTGATAGTACAAAGAACTGAAAAGAAAAATTCACACCTGTTAGCTCTCTGGAATTACACTGATTGTTTCTGTAATTAAACCTTGAAACTCTAATCAAACACCAACTTTAAAGCTCTGGAAAGAAGAACTTTCAGTTTTAGATTAAACATCTTGTAAGCAACGCTTTCAACTCTTCAGACACAGCCATGCCTTGAATCTGGTGAGAGGAGACAAAGATGAGGATCATTCTCATGTTATCTTAAAAATATGTGGGAGTGGCCCTCCCTGGTGGCGCAGCAGGTTAAAGCACAGCACTGAGAAGCTTAAGCCACTTCCTCATGAGTTCGATCCCCGCCTGCCCTGGAGGAGATCCACATGGCGTGGCAAACCTCTCCTGACCCGCCCGCTGCTCCCCTCAGCAGTGTACTTCGTCGATCTGCCTGTTCTGCTCCCCACTTTGTCTCTGGTGAATCCTCTCACCCTCCGCATCTCTGGCCTGTACCCCAGTTCTGTATGAATAAATAAATCTTTAAAAAAAAATATGTGGGAGTCCCATGTTTATTGCTGCTTTATTTACAATTGGAAAAACATGGAAGCAGCCCAAATGCCCAAAAGTAGATGACTGGATAAAAAAGATGTGGTACATATATACAATGGAATATTACTCAGCAACCAAAAAAGAGAAACACATGTCTTCTGCAGCAACTTGGATGGAGCTGGAAAAGATCATGCTTAGTGTGATAAGCCAGAAAGAGAAAGAAAAATACCAGATGGTTTCAATCATAGCAGGAGTATAATGGACCAGGCGAGAAAATAACAAAAATAATGAACAACCAGAGACATTTTGTGGGGGTGGAGTGGGGAATGGGATCAAAAACGGGGGGAGGGGGAAAGGGAGGGAAATGCATGGGACTATGGTGGTGGCACACGGGTGATTTGGTGATGGGAAACCCATGGGGATTACAATCGAGATGGAAAAAAAAATGTGCAAAATGATGTAAAAATAAACTTTTGTAATAATTAAAAAAAATATGTGGGAGTCTTTGAATGTCTTTATGATGTTCACTTTGCTAGCATGTGTAACACAACTCAGAACATGAAACCAAATTATCTTTATAAAAATGAGATGCTTTGTTAGGAGTTCTCTTAAACTATTGTTTTCTAAAAGAGCAGAATTATAAGTCCTACTGGGATTATTTAACCAGGACCAGCCAATATTCTCTGACTAGCTAAATGTGGGAGGAAATAACCATTTTCTTTCAAAAAACATTTCAAGACCACGTTTGAAATAAAGCATTTGTTAAGAGTGATACAGGTGCTTCAACAGCTCAGAGATTATCAGGTATCCTAGGTGCTCTTATTCCAAAGTCTAGTGAGAACATGAATGAGGTCAAATGCATTTGGCTCCACTTTTGGCCAAGAGTTCTGGAGTCAGACCTGGTTATTTCATAGATTTGCAACTGGTACCCTCTGCTGGTAAATGCAAATGTTCACTCCATACTGGGGAGGCCAGCTGGCAAGTCATTTGTTCACCATTTCTCTCCCAGTTAGGTTTAGAAAATGCTGAAATCACCTTAACAGACCACAAATGGGAGTACAAAGTGCCTGCACAATACCCCAGTGTTAGAAACTCCAGCGCCGAAGGTAGTTTTCCTATGCATTCACTATGAACAGCCAAGTGTTTTGCTGAACTCCCATTTGAATTTAGGGGCAAAACTGATAATCCCTTCTCAGAGTTTGTAGACAAGATCAGAATGGGCTTTGTTAAATTAAGACTCTCAGTCTTAGGCAAAAGAAAAAACTCCTCACATAGAATAGTGGTTTGACAGGCCCTTTTCATAATGTAAGAAGTATATAAATTGCCATGTGTTTTAAACCATAGATTTATAAATATCCACATGTTTTAATATATATCCAGGAAGAATACACAAGAAATTTTATTATCTTGTAACAGAAGAACTAAGAGATGAAAGGAGGAGTTTCTCTGTCCATTTTATATCTTTATGCATTAAGGTTTACTACATGCATTTATTAATTTGATTTCTTAACAGGTCATTTAGATGAAATGTTTAAACTTTGAAATATTTAAACATTATGGCCACTTTCATTTTCCTTATAGACTTTGAATCAAAAACTTCTTAATTTTATCAAAAAGAATTTAAAATGTCTCAGAATGTCTTAGCAATGACAGTAAATGCTAAAGACAAAATAGAAAAAATAGAAAGTATCAGAAATTTATAAAAGCTTCCAAATTTTTCTGAGAATAAGTAGTTGGGAAATAATAAAATTAAACAATTGGAAAACTTTTTAATTGCAACTATGTTTTTTGAGGAAGGTCCTTCAAGAATAAGTTCTCTACAGATCTTACTGACATACCTAGAAGATTTTTTTTTAAAACAAGCCACATAAAAGAGAATGGACTTTCTGCCTGCTAAGTGAGTCCTAATATTTCCATTCTTAATACAAAAGAAAATTCTACTTTTAAAAGTAATCATATTGTATGCTAAGCTTTGCCATTTTTCTACTTACTACATAGCTGTATAAAAATAACTTTTGGTCAGGAATGACACCTTCAGATGAGAAAATTTAGAGGAAAAGATGTTGATTCAGTTCCTGATTTATATAACTTGCTGACCTAGAAATGTTTGGGGAACTATCATATAAGCAGCCTTGGCATGAAAGTGTTAGTATTATGCAAATTCATATTTTAAAAGCATTCTTTTTAAAAGAATTAAATGTACATGGGATGTCATAATTTATTCACTGATTCAACAAATACTTATCATGCACCTATCATGTTCCCTTAAAGGAACTAAATGACTAAATTCAAAGATACATTTTATTATCAATAAAATCTCAATTCCACTTCTTAACTTGCAGAAGGTTGATGTCATCTACCCAAGTGACTTCTCTTATGGTCTATTTCAACTCTTAAGTCAGAAACATAAGTCAATATTGAAATCAGAGTTAAAATGGTATGTTCTTCTCTCTATCCTAGATCCTTGAAATTAATCACAGGTCACCCTAGTCATTTTAGCGTAGATTTAAAGTAATAGAACCCATTTAAAGTAAAAGAGTCATTTAGGTGTGGATTTAAAGTAAAAGAGCCCATTAATTTAGCCAAGCAGTTATTTTAAATATATATATTTACAAATAAGATGAAGAAACCAAATACGTCTAGAATATAAGTCTATCCTGATATGCATAAACACAATGCACCAATGACGGACAGGTTTGCTAGTATCATCATTATTCACATATAAAAATTTACCAAAAACCCCTTAATAACTTTGAAAGAATTCTTGAAAAGTGACTCTCTGTGATGCATCATTCAACATTAAAAAAATATTATAAGTACTTCTAAAATGTTGATTTCTTAGCTCCTTTCTACCTCTAAAAACTAATACTAATGCATAATAATCTAAAAAATAATAGAGTCCAAGGAACAGATGCCACATAGGCAACAATACTATATTTTAATTCTTGCTATTTGTTACTTCTGAAAGACATCTAAAGATGAATTATTTTAAAATATCTGTAATGTCAGTCAAAAGGACAACATTTGAAAACCTCACCTAACTATAAAATCAGCTGATTCAAAATGGCACATGGAAAATGTGGACTATTTCATGGTGAAAGTGCCTAATCTTGCTACAGCACCAGAGTTTGCATCCTTTGAAAAGAATTTGTTGACATAGTTAATATCCCACAATAAACAATTACTCTCAGACTTAAAGATGAGAAAAAAATTAGATAACACACTTCCCAAGATGCCTACCAGCTTTAAAGTCTGCAATAGTAAAGAAATAACTAGGCACAGCTTGTCCCGTTGTTCATTCTTATTCTATCATAACTGTGTGGCTTTATTATCATAACCGCCCTAAAATGTGCTTAACTGCTTTCTGCATTCACTGACACTTAAAGGTTTGCACTTTCTTCATAGGGTTTCCTTTTTATACTGAATGGATCCATTGCCACAGTGAAGAAAACAGCCTCACACTCTTAAATGACATTAGACTTTAGTTACTGTCTCTCGCTCTCGCTATTGTAGTTTGAAAGAATAACTATTTTCAAAAGCTAAGGAAACTGCTTACAGCTTAGTAGTTTTATGGAACAATGTAATTAAGAACATGATCACCACTTTCCTTGCATAAGACATGTAGATATTGAAAGATCAGATCTGTAACCACAAGCTTCACTACCACTTTTCTGTCCTCTGTAGTCTGACATACTGTGTCCAATCACCCGCCTCTCACCATACCTATCTATGTGGCTGATGAAAGGTCCACAGCTTCTCCTGTCTCTTCTTCTTTTGTTTCAGTTCCTCCACTCACTTTCTTTTTCTCCATCTCTCTTTCAACCTTTTTTCCTGTTTCACCTGGAAAAATAACCAAAGAGATTAAGAAGAGATGCTCTTAAGCATTTAGCATTAACAATTAACAATAAAGTTCCCCAAAGCTGATTTCCAGTGCAGTAGCTCTTGCTCTTTACAACTAAACAATAAGTTTCTCTGGTGGTTTCAAGAAAGGTAGTTGCCCAGGTCCTTTGAAGGGCAGATGTCTCTTAGATCTCCCAGTCTTTGCATCCTCTTATAATATAGAGGATATAGAGCTACCCCAGAAATGCCAATAGTACATGTTGCAAATAGAAAGTCCATTTTTTTTATTTAAAGACTTATTTATTTTGCATAATAACTGGAGTACAAGCCATAGGTGCAGGGGCAGTGAGAGGATTCACCATAGACAGTGTGGGGAGCAGGCCACCTGATGAAGCACACTGCTGAGGGGAGCAGCGGGTCAGGAGAGGTCTGCCGCGCCATGTGGGTCACCTCCGGGGCAGGGATCGAACTCATGCTGAAGTGGCTTTAGCTTCTTAGTGCTGTGCTTTAACCGGCTGCGCCACCAGGGAGGGCCCTCAATCTTTTTTTTAATAAAATATTTGCCAAGACATACATTCTCTATAGTGTCATAAAAATATAAAGGCAACCAGAGGACAGTAATTTTCAGTCAATTCCTCCATTAACCATCTTTCATCTTTCCTCTGGATTCTCATTATACCATACATGGGGCCTGAAGAGGAGCAAACTCAGGAAATCATGTTTAACATGTTACATTCATTATTCAATTCTATTCAACAATGAAACTAGATTTAAAATGTGGATGATGCCTGTGCTTTAGAAATTATCTGCTTGAAGGCCTTCCCTGGTGGCACAACATGTTAAAATGCAGCACTACGAAGCTAGTCACTGCACCTTCAGCGCAAGTGAGATCTTAGGCCAGGGAGGTGACCCACATGGCACAGCAAATATCTCCTGTCTCACCCACTGCTCCCCTCAGTCATGTACTCTGTCAATCAGACAGTGCTCCCCATTCTGTCTCTGGTGAATCCTCTCACTGCTCCTGCACCTCTGGCCTATATGCCAGTTCTGTACGTATAAATAAATCTGCTTGAAAAAAAGGAAACTACCTGCTTGAATCAGAAAAAAGAAAAAAAAGCAATTGTAATAAAGTAAAAATGGCTATAAATTAGAGACATTCTACAGGGGTGGAAAGGGGAATAGGATCAAAACTGAGGCAGGAAAAGCACACAGGACTATGGTGATGGCAAATAGATGAACTGGTGTTGGGAAGTCCACAGGGATTACAATCGAGATGAAAAATGTACAAAATGAAGAATGATGTGCGCAGCAGATATCTCCTGTCTCACCTACTGCTCCCCTCATATATATATATATATATAATATTTTTTAAAAAAGAAAGACAGGGCTCTCCCTGGTGGCACAACAGGTTAAAGCACCGCATTATGAAGCTCTCCAAAGCCACTGCAGCAAGAGTTCAATCCCCAGCCAGGGAGCTGACCCACATGGAGTGGCAGACCTCTCTGACCTGCCCGCTGCTCCCCTCAGCAGTGTACTTCGTTGATCTGCCTGTTCTGCTCCCCACCCTGTCTCTGGTGAAGCCTCTCACTCAACATACCTCTGGCCTGTACCCCTGTTCTGTAAGCATAAATAAATAAACCTTTAAAAAAACAAAGAAAAACAAAGATTTGTATGAATAAATAAGGAATCAAAGTAGTTGAACTGGTAAAGCAAAACAATCATAAGCGACTGGACACTGATAACTAAAGTAAGGTTTCTGTGGTGAAAGGGAGAGGGGAGGGAATAAAGATCTAAAGGGGTGGGTGAAGAATGAACATTAATAGCTAGTAAAGAAGGAAAGTAGTCCAAATCTAGGATCCTGAGTGACAGATGGGGCAACCCCCCAGGAAGGAGACAGCGGCCTCAGGGCACTGCCCACAGGACCAGTGAGGGAGACATGGCTCATATCCTCATCTTACGAAAGATAAGTAATGAAAATGAAGGCCGGATGCAAGTTGGCCTGGATTAGAGTCCATGAGCTGGCTCTTCGCTCTCTCTCCTCCTGGACACATAGAAGGATGGAAACTGGCTGGTGTTGTGTAGACAGGCAAGAGGCCGGCCCCTGGAAGTCTTGCGAGAGCCAAGCTGGCTCCACCCCTGCTTTGCCCGGAGAGCAAGTGGTTCTAGAGCAAGTGGTTCTTGCTCCTGGGTGAGAGTGAGGGGATGGGACAGACTATCTCCAGGGCCCTTTGCCACTAACATTGTACAGGAATGCAAAGAGCATAAAAACCTCTAAAGATAGGTCAGCCAGTCCTGCCAGGCCTCCCTCCCCCTCAGGCCATTTATCTCTCTGCCCACCCAGCTCTCAAAGGGTTAGAAAATGCTCTCCACTTGCAAAACATTGCCCTTAACACCTTATTACCTCGAACAATAGCACTTTTACCAGCCTGGTCATATTATTGTCTTCCCTGCCCAATGACTATATTTTCCAAGAAAACAAGCTCCTTCAAAATGTGCTGCCCTCTGCCAAGCAGGGAGTGCCACATTATCTGTGGTGGGTGCCCGTGTTTAGGAGGAAATGCTTTCTTTTCATCTCTCCAAGTAAATCTTTCCCCAGCACTTGGAAAGCTGATTGCTGCCAATTTCCAACTGGAGAAACATAGCCATTAAGAGGGGGAGATATTAGTAACTAGAAGATACTTATAACAGTTAAAAGGGGGGCCTGGCTTTACCTTTTAATTCTCCAGGTTGTGTGTATATGTGTGTGTGTACTTTTCAGTATTCCACTAGTGTTCTACTTGGGAGGAAGTGGAATACATGTGTGTGTGTGTATCTGTGTATGTGTTTGTGTTGAACACACACCTATGTCATGTGAATGCATTCAGATAATATATATGCCTACAATTACATATGCACACAAGGGGTATTTGTATGTACTCCATGTATGTAGTAGGCACATCTACATGAAGTCTTTGTAAATGTGGAGAGCAAGGACCATGAAAGGAGAGGGGAGTGTGTGTGTGTAGGGAGAAAGAGAGAAGACAGAGGGGAGAGAGAAAAGATAGGGGGGGGGAA